TATTATTTGTTAATTAAAAGTAAAAATGTAAATAATAAAAAAAGCCACATGACTCAGTCTGTAAGAGGCAGGGATAAATGCCTGAGGAGAATTCAGTGGCTATTTTGATCAGAATTTGGTACCTGCCATTTCTGTGGATATTCTGCAGAAGTGTTGATAGAGGGGCAAACTCCCAATCTGTTAAATTGGATAAAGATGGGATAGAACTACCAACCCTCTCACCCTTAGGTATTAAATGGAACATTCCTATGGAGGCTGCTAAGTGGTTGAGAAACACATTCAATTCAGTTATACGATGATGCTAAAGCTTTACTTATGCCTCTGAAATGGTATCAGAGGACAAGTCAAAAGTAAATTAGGGAACATGGACATTGAATAACGCAGAGTTGGAGAATGGAGAACTGCTGAAGAAGCCTGGAACTCTGCATTTACCTTCATTTTTACTGACTTTTCTTCTCTTCCCTTCTATCCAAAGGAAAGAAAAGTCACATTCAGAAGATATGGCCAAAGACAGCTGCAGCTTGCTCCTTAACAACTGCCCCACAGCTGGTTTATCCTAAAGTGATTATACTACATATTTCTGGTCTCTATCTTTGCTCTGTTTTCTGTAAAGGGACAAGGAGACTTTTTGCAACCTTCTCAGATGTAGAGAAAAAACAGAAGAAATGGAAGCAGACTGCCTCTTAGTCTCTTCCAAGAAATAGGAATAGTAGCTTTATCAGTCCACAGGTTAATGAATGAAAATAAAAGTTGTAATTAAGTATAAATCACCAATAGAAATAAGGCAAAGATATAAAAGATGTATTATAATAGGAATGAATAGAGTTGACAGAGTTATATTTAACATTTCATTTGCTTGCAAGTGATCTGTGACCATACAGAAATATCTACAGAACTATGTTCAAAACTAATGCTTAAATTTCCGTGATCTTGATGCTACAACAGATTGACTTAGACTCCTGACATGTTAATATTTGGATTCTATTCTTTATGTTAATTCGTGAGTATTAATACATCATGATTACAGTAAAAGAAAAAATCCACTTTTCCTATTTATCAATTCTCTTATCTTAGAGATATTCTGGAGATATAAATTATGTGCTTTGGTAATCACTGTAAGATATGGGCCGCATACAAAGATTTTGGTGGCCTTATAAACCCATGAAATCACAGCGTACTTTCTAATTGCCTAAGCAAATAATACTTATTTTTATTAACTGATTTGTGAGTGAGACTGAGAAAAGGAAGAAATGAATGAGATGGACTAACTGCCCTTCTGGGAAGTTGGCTGACACTACTGAATCTAGTTCTAATAACTTGTGGATTTGAGGTAGCTTACTGTCCCTGTCTTAGTTTGGGTTCTCTCGGAAGCAGACTCTGGGACAGGGATTC